AAGAAACACCACACATGCACATGCACACACAATACGTTGACTACATCACTTAAGACCTGACAACCATCCACATGCATCTACACACACAACTAATGGTTGAAGCAGAAAAAGCCCAAGAACGATTTCCCTTGGAATCCATGAGGGATTGATTCCAGGACCCCTTTTGGAATCCAAGATACATTCATGGATGCTCAAGTTCCTTATGTAAAATGGAACAGTGCATGCTAATTATCTCTGGGTTGCTTGTAACACCTACTGTAATGTGAATGTTATTCTTAGAGAACAACCTTAAAAAATATACGTAGTCAGTAAAGACATAAAGTTGGCTGGTTTTGTGGATGTAGAACCCGTGGGAGACAGAGCAGATGAGACTTCCAGATCCTATCTGTGGGGTTGGTCATCTCCCATGGACAGAATCAAGGGCAGATCCAATCTGCCTCAGAGAAGTGCCAAGCCTAGATGTCCCTGCTTCAACCCATGCAGGCAGCAGAGGGTCCTTACCTTTAGTGTGCGCAGGGAACACTGCCCCTCCTCCTGGCTCTTCAGGATCCGCTCCACAAATTTAACGTCCAGGAAAGCCCAGATTTTGAAGTAAAATAGCTTTCGGCAGGCCAGGATGAGGAGATGGAGCTGCTCGTCTAGCGACTCATGATTGTTGTTGAACTCGAATGTTAACTTCTAGAAAAGCACCAAAGGGGGGGGGCGGTATCAGAGGTGCTGGGACTGTCCGGAACGTTGGCAGTCTCTAGAGACAGAAGTCAAATTTGGCTTTTTGTCAAGTTTGGTTTTTCCCATCCCCTGCTTATTCCTTATACTTTTGGTTGTGAGCCTAGCCTTTAACGGCTGAGCCATCTCTCCAGCCCTCCCCTGCTTATTCCTGACCTCAGAAACCACAGGGCTGTCTGTCTACTGCTGTGAGCCAGTGGAAAGAGGCTGTCTGTTGACAGCAAGGCACCTTTTTTTTTTTTTTTTGGCTTTTCGAGACAGGGTTTCTTTGTATTGTTTTGGAGGCTGTCCTGGAACTCTCTCTGTAGACCAGGATGGCCTCGAACTCACAGAGATCCTCGCCTCTGCCTCCCGAGTGCTAGGATTAAAGGCGTGCGCCACCTACGCCCGGCTGCAAGGCACCTCTTGACTCAGGCTTCACAGCTGTATGATAAGGTTAAGAGAAGTTTTCTTGGTTCACAGCCAGCCAGGAAGTTCCCTGAGTCCCGTGGGCAGGGAGCGAACAGTGGTCTTTCGAGGAGTGTGTGGAAGGCTTGAGAGTGTACGTGGTAACATCTAGAACTCTGACAAAGAGTTAAGTGAGCATGTAGAAGCCTAGCCAAGATCAGGCAGCAGGTTTTCCAGTGACCAACAGCTCCTCACAAGCTCCTGGGGGCCTCACTTGCCAATTACCTGCAGAGTGTTCCGGAAGGTGGGCAGGAGGTCCATCAGAGTGGGCCGCATGGACCAGTCTGGGTCACTGAAATAGCAGCTTCTTAGGCTGATGCTTCTGACTGGAATCTCCTGCAGCAAGATCCGGGCCAGGCGTTCATACTTCATGACTCGCTCAAAGAAGAAGTTCACCTTCAGGCTGCTGGCCTGCCTGGCTAGCTTGGCCCAGGACATGCCCCAGACTACCTGGCCATGGGGGTCGTGAACGTGGCATTTGATGTTCATGGTCCGGAGGGTGCCAGCATTGTTCTCACTCAAGGTCTCGAGCAGCTCGTCAGAGATACAGTTGTAGTTGAGTGTTAGGAGCGTCAGGTTGTGGAATGTGGCCATGGCCTTGTTGAACTGGGAGCTGCCATAGACGGCCAGGTGATGGCTGAAGAAGTCCTCAATATTGAGCTCTGAGGCCAAGTTCTCATTCCGAAGGTAGCTGAGGGAGTTGAGGATGTGGCAGCCTTGCTCCACTGTCAGACGGGCCCCTTTCAGGCTTAGATGGTCCAGGTGTTTGCCCATCTTCTTTAAGAAAAAACTCAAGCTCTTGATGAGCGAGCCCCTGATGCTGTTTCTCCAGACCAGCCGGTCCAGCTCCAGGTGCTGGATGGAGAGTGACTTCAGACGGTTGTTACTCTTGCCCAGGCACGACAGGAGGCCTCGCATGGTGACCTGGAACTTTTTGGTCAAGACGGCATTGTAAGGATTCAGGAACTTGATTTCCAAGTGTTCCAGGTAGCGGCCGAATTTCTTAATATACCAGAGTGCTGACTCGAATTCGGATGCGTGTACCCTGGATGGCCTCCCGCTGAATGTGATGGTCCTGTATCGCCAGAGGTCAGCTGAGTACATTATCTGGTTCCACTTTCTGCAGACCAGGGCAGCTCTGGACCTGTCCCTGTCTCCTAGCCACCAGAAAACACGTCGCAGGCACACATCTGGCAGAGTGGCCCAGCAGCTCTGCTCTTGGGGCAGGATTACTTCACCCTCTTCGTCCATCAAAGGACCCAGATGTACAGTGTAGCAGTGTGGTGAGCAGGGCTTCCAAAACGGGGAAAGAAATGCAGTCACGTGTTCCCTGTGAGAGGTCAAAAAGCAGAAATCAAACTCAACTGAACAAACTTCCTCTGTGCTTCTACTGTAGTGTGTCAGGCACTGCGCCAGATGTTGGCGGTTCCTTGGTGAATCCAGGACACCCCACACCTGTGAAACTGTGTAGTTCATCCAGGGTCACAGACCAGCACCCAACTTCAGCACAGTTAGATGCTGCCTGTGGTGGCATGCCAGAACTCAGGAGGCTAAGGCAGAAGGAACATAAACTCAAGGCTAGCCTGGACTACACTGGAGTCCCAGTCACCCTGGGCTATGTAACCAGACTCTGTCTTCAATAAAACAAAACACCCAGTGAGCGTTAACACAGCAAGAGAAGTGAGGAGACCCAGGGATGCTCGCGATACAGGGGGAATAGACGGCACAGCTGGGAAGTGACTAGTTTCCTGGTAAGGAGGAAGTGCTGAGGGATGCTCAAAGGAGATCATGTCTGAGGTGCGTTTTCAATGAGTAGAATTTTAAGACAGACCCGGCTGGCCTAGTGGCAGAGGGAAAGCTTGCTGCATCACAGGCAGAGGGAACAGTTACACATAAAGCCACAGAAGTGTGAAAAGGTGACACGCGGGCACACTGGTGGGGGTAGCAATTGCTTTCATATCATGAACTTGCAAATGCTATTTAACAAAACAAACAAGCAAACAAACTGCCCAAGGTTATAAACCCTTACCAGGGACAGTGTGTATCAAGAGGACAGGAGGCAATATGGAAAAATGAAAACAAAAAAAACTAAACCAAGAACTGGGGCGTTGCTTGGTAATAGAATGCTTGTCTAACAAACTCGAAGCTCAGGGCTTGATCCCCAACACTGGGCAAATGGTGCTTCCCAGAACAGGGTGTGTGTGTGTGTGTGTGTGTGTGTGTGTGTGTGTGTGTGTGTGTGTGTGTGGCATGTGGTGTGCCGGGTGGAGAGTGTTGCTAAAACAAACCCAGACAGAGTCACAGACTATAGATGTCTGTCTGCGCATGTGCTGTGGTGTGGCATATGTGTGGAGGTCAGAGGACAGCCTCTGCTACAGGTTTTCACCTTCCAACTTGTTTGAAACAGGGTCTTTTGTGAGGCTTCTTCTGTTTACAATTTCTCTTATTGTAGATAGCCTGGGCTACAACAACTACAGCTTTAAATGGGTTCTGGGGATTCGAACTCATGTCCTCACATTGCATGGCCAATGCTTTACCCACTGAGCCGTTCACTGTTCGGAGTTAGATACTTTGTTGTTGTTGAAAGGATTCCCTCAAATAATAAGTAAATGACACTCCATTGTTGTAATCTTAGTAAATTTCTTCGTGTCTTAGTGTCTAGTCTGTTAATAGAAATAGCATTACTTTCTCCTACTTTTGGGAAATTTAAAGGAGCTGATGCGGAGGTAAAAAGTGCTGTGAGCTCTGGCTGCCATTAGTAAGTTGGGGCCCAGGCACTTCTGCATTTTCTCTGTGAAGATGAGAACACGCCCATTTTGCAAATAGAGAATCGGAGGGTTTTGGGAGGTTTAAAAAGTTTCCTAGTGAGGTGGTGTTCTAAGCATATGAGTGTGGGATTCGAGCCTACGCTAGTGTTCCCAAACCTGGGCTTGGTCCACCATAATATGATACAGTTGGCCAATCAGCGAGGGAAATTTAAGGCTATCCCATCACCAGGGCGGCGCGCCCCTCCCACGCGGGCCTCGCGGCTGCGCGGGGCCTCAGATGCCCGCCGGGTGCGTGGGTGCTTCGGGTCGCCCGTTACCGGCTCGCTGCGCCCCGCTCGGGCTGCAGGGACGCCGAGCGCGCCTGCCCCTCCGCCCGCGCTGCTGCTCCCACGCCGACTCCGAGAGCAACCGGGGCGGTGGCCCGTGCTCGCCGCGGCCAAGGCCACCGCCGCCTTTGTGACGCGCCGCCACCCCTCTGCTATCTGCTAGAGCTCACTGATCGCTTGATCTCAAACCCAGGGTTGCCAGATCCACTGCTGGCAAGGGAGGGGAAGACTGTGCATAGACCCACCAGGAAAGCGCCAGGCCAAGGCAGGAGGCTGGAGGGAGGTGCACCTTGTGAGGTTCGCCAGGCGCCCTGCTCTTACCTATGCTAGCAGTGCAGCAGTTAAGAGGTCTGATCCCAACTCTGTGCTCACATCCGTTCCCTCCAGTTTTGACCTCTGGAAGCACTGGGCCTCCACTTTCCTATCATCAGATGAGGGTAACACCTCACCCCCAAAGGGTGGGTTTCAATTTGGGTCTGCAAGCAGCCTGAGTTCAGTTCCCCTTCCCAGCTTCCAGAAAGGGTGATACTCACCCAACCCACCCACCTTGTTTGCTGAATAACCTTTTTGCTGAAGCCCAGGGCTGAAAGTTAAGTATGCTCCCTGTCCCCAGATACAGTGGTTGCACAATTCCTTTATTGCTAAAGGTCTCACCCGACCGTCCCCCCCCCCCCCCCACCCAGGGCTTCAGCTTGCCACCCTCCCCTTCGCCAATGTGAAAGACAGCTCTCACTTCAAAAGAGATTAAGGAACAATTTATTCTGGAGCCAAATATGAGTGATCATGGCCCAGAAATACAGATCCAGTTCGCCCCAAATAACCATGTTCCAACGTGGTAATAATTTCTGTGATGTTTTTATAGTGACAGAATAAAGTCGCTTTACAAATATTGGTGACACATCAGGTAAGCTGATTATAGCAAAGCAGGGAGACCTTGCTATGGGCCCCGGATGCTGTGTGATGACTTCCTTAACAGTAGGGATCTGCTTACATGTCCCCAGACCTTTCCTGAAGAGTCATAGCATGTTAAGTCACACACAGATGTGGATGTTAAATAGCTATTTAAGGAGCTAAGGTAGCTCAAGATACTTGGTGCTGGACCTGCGACAAGCTAACCTCTCCACAGTCCTGAAGTTCTAGTCAGTCAGCCTTTGCAGGATGCTCAGTTTGTAGTGGTTGCTTTTTGGGAACTTTAATTCACCCTGCTTCGCCCCTCCCTTCCCCTCCTCCTCCTTTTCTCATTTTTCCTTCCCTCCCTCCTTCCTCTCTCCTTCTGTAACCTCCCCTCCCCCCAGTCCACACACTCTGAACATGTCTTGCTCTGGAAAGCAATGAGGAAAGCAGAGAGAGAGAGAGAGGACAGGAGGCTCAGGACAAAGCTGGGGTCCCCTGGGCAACTGAGCAGTTGAGCCTTGGTGCTTAGTCAGGAGTTGAGTGGAAGAACAGGAAGCCTTTTCTCTGGGTCATCGGTAGCTCCGGGGTCAACAAGGTCTGACTCACAAGAAGGAAAAGACCTAAGGTCATTTTCTGAAGCCCAACGATTAAAGCCTGTCTCTCTTCCTAAGCAAAGACCACCAAAGTGCTGAGAGTGACACTTGAATCTGCCCTGACCTAGAATGAGAAACATCATCACCCTTTCAAGGCCCAGGGAACATTGTTAAAGATGGAGCAGAAAGACTGTGATAGGAATTAGGGGCTGGGCGGAATGCTATGAAATGCTCTCCTGGATCCAGCATGGCCATGGGCACACGTCAGCTGTGGTTGCCTGCACAAGACCTGCATGTGTGCTAGCATGTACTAGCGTGTGCACACAGACTGAAGACATGAAGGAAGAAGGGGTTTGCAGGAGTGGGATGGGGATAAGGGAAGGCAGTGGGGTAAGTATGATTACAGTACATTGTAAACACATATGGAACTGCAGAAAATTAAAGGAAAAATTCAATTACAGAGATTGGTAAAGAAAACAAAGTTGTGACCACCACGAAAGGAAGCAGGGGAGCCAGTGTGATCTGAAGCTCTTGTGAATGCTAGGGCCTCTTTCCTCTGGAGTTAGCTGGCCCTCCTCACTTGTTCTCTCGATGAGCTAACTTCAGGCACTTCTCCTAAAGAAATGAAAATAGACGTTAAAAAGCTTCAAGTGGGAGGCAAGTTGCTATTTACTGGCTTTTCTGTTGTTGGGCCTTCCCACCAATAGGGGCTATCAAAGCCAGGGCTTAGCAAGTGCTAGCTGCCTCACGACTACATCTTAGGCCCTCAAATGCTGCTGGCCTCTGAAATGGCTCTGGGTGTTGCTGTCCCTTGTTCTGAAGCATGCCTGACTGAGACTGGGATGAGATGGCCTCGAAGAGACTTGGGGTAGTGGTTAATGAAGGCGGGCTTCATGGGCAAACAGGAAGAAGCACATGGAAAGTTTCTGTGTAGCCACTGAAATCAGTGAGCCACGTTGTTTACTTGGTTAGTGCCAAGCCATAGAATTGAGGTATAAGAATGTATATAGCAACACTCCCAAGTGCTTGTGTATGGGAAGATCATAGGGATATTGAGTAAAATACAGAATGACCCATTGACTTTCGGGTTTCGGAGACAAGGATTCATAAGTCTGGGAGACTCAAAGTATCCAAACAGAAGCAGTTGAAGCAGCTTTACAGCCTTGCAAAGTCTCGAGAGAAAAGGTAAAAATGGTAGTTCTCCCATTTGGTGCTGGACAGTGTTTTGTTTGTTTGTTTGTTTTTTTTTTATAGTGCTCAGGTATGAAAAATTCCTGCCCACCTTTTCCCGTAGGTTGACTCTCCAGTAAAATTTTCTAGCATAGCCCCCCAACCCTGGGCTAGACTCAGGGTCCTCTTGCCTCAACCTTCCTTTTTGAAAAAGTGTGTGATGTTTGCATGTCATTGCAGATACGTGTGTGAGGGGTGAGGGTCCAACCTCCCATGTGTAAAGGTCAGAGGTTGCCATCTTGTTTTTTTTTAATATCTCTGCTTGGTTTTGGGACAGGGTCTCTCATTAAACCTCAAAATTACAATTTCAGCTAGACTGGTTGGCCATTGAGTACCTGGGACCTACCCTTCTCTGTTCCCCTAGCCCAGAGATTTCAGGCATGAGTCACTGTGCCTGTCTTTTTTGCATGGGTTCTGTAGATTTGAACTCATGTCCTTATCCTCCTTGCACAACAAGCACTTTAACCATTGAGTCATCTCCCCAGCCCCCGTCTCTACTTTTCTAAGTGCTAGGATTACAGGAATTCACCACTAACCCTGACACAACCTAGGGTCATCTGGGAAGAGAGACCTCAATTGAGAAAAGTGCCACCATCACATTGACCTGTAGTAAATCTGTAGGACATTTCTTGATTAATAATTGCTGTGGGAGGGCCCAGTCCATTTTGAGAAATACCACACCTAGCCTGGTGGTCATGGGTGCTGTAAGAAAGGAGGCTGAGCAAGTCATGGGGGAGAGAGACAGTAAGCAGCATTCCTTCAAGGTGTCTGCATCAGTTCCTGTCTTTGAGTTCCTGCCCTGACTTCCCTGGGTGATGGACTACAAGCAGGAAGGTGAAATAAACTTTCCTCTCCAAGTTGCTTTTGGTTATAGCCGTTTCATCATAGCAATAGAAAGAAAACTAAGATACAAGTAGCTAGTTTGAAAACTAGCTTTTGGCTGATACAATACCTAATAATATCTATTATAACAAAATTTAATTTTGTTTTCTTTTTTTAGGCAGGTTCTTTCTATGTAACCCTGGCTATCTAAGCACTCTCAATGCAGAGCATGGTGGCCTGGAACTCAAAGAAATCTGCCTGCCTCTGCCTTTGCCTTCGGTGTGCTGGGATTTAAGACATGCACCACCATGCCTGGTCATATTTTGTGGTTTTTAAAGTATCAAACAACTAAGGCCTTTCGCCAAGAATTTAAGAGTATAAACTTTGGAGTGTTACATTGTAAAGTCCCTCAAATGGTTCTGCATTCCCCCAGTTTCCATCTGTAGAATGAGGGTAAAGTAACTTGTCAGTCATAGCCAAGCACTGTAACATTGTACAATGTTTGTAATGTGCACAATGTTGAGGACTACTTCTTTTGTTTTTTTTTTTTTTTTTTTTTTTTTTTTTTTGAGGCAGGGTTTCTCGGTGTAGCTTTGGAGCCTGTCCTGGAACTAACTCTTGTAGACCAGGCTGACCTCGACCTCACAAAGATCCGCCCTGCCTCTGCCTCCCAAGTGCTGGGATTAAAGGCACCCAGCCACTACTAATGGCAACTCTTATTACAAGAAATAGTATTGGGGCCTCAGAAGATGGCTCAGTGGGTGAAAATGCTTGCTATACTAGCTTGGCAACCTCCGAAACACTTATAGAAAGAGAGAACTGACCACACAGAGTTGTCCTCTGACCTCTACATGCTTACCAGGGCAACTCTCCTCCCAATAATAATAAAATTAAAAGAATTAGGATTTCTTCAAAAAGAAGATAGTCCTGGATGGAAAACTCAGGATGAGGGAGCCAGCTGTAAACCTGGGTGTGCTGTAGGCAAACCACCAGGTGCCTTCACATCTGGAGCCAGACCCTTCTGCTCTCAGGCCTAAGCTGCCTATCTCCACCTGGAAAGAGCACACTGACAGCCCTGGGCTTCGCTCATTCATTCCACAGCCTTGGGGCGTTGCCATGTGTCCAGGCCTGGAACAGATGCAGACACAGAGAGGAGAAATCCAGTTCTACCCTCAATGGTGACCCAGTGACTAGGAGGTGACACAAACCAGGGAACAAGTGCTGAAGAAAATGCGCATGGGCACACAGAAGCAGGAGGAAGCTCTAGAGGAGTTGCTCAGCCACTACACTGGACCACAGCCCCATCCCCCATCTCCCATCCCCCATCCTCCCACAGGCTGGGTAAGTCACTGTGCAGCTGGTTCCCAGCCAGGCGAGGAGGCAGCAGGGTTGAGGGGAGAGCAAGGTACCTGGTGCTGATTTAGAATAGGCAAGGGAAGTAAGATGCTGCACCAGCAGCACTTCCGAAAGATGTCATAGGCTGTTTCATCTCCTTTAGGAAGAGCAGCCCTCGGCTGGAGTGCAGGCTTCAAAGGCAGACCCATGAGGCCATTTTTGTCCTTAGTCTCTCCACTTGTTGAACTGTTTCTAATTTTTGTCTTTGGACGAACATCTGTCATCACTGTGGATGTTTGATTTCCAGTCACCTGACTTGCACGGGATGGAGGGAGAATTTTTGGCTTTCCATCCTGAAGGTATTTCACAGTCCTTGAGGCTGGACATTGTTTCTGCAATGTGAGTAATGTGTGAATTAAAAATGACTTCAGCTTCAGTAGTTGGACAATACAGCTGAGATAACCTGAAAGGCTTTTCCTTATAAACACTTAGAAATGACAGATAAGGAGCAGCAACATGGCTCGTGTAGGTAAGAGTGCTTGCTGTCAAGCTTCAAGACCTGAGTCTGATCCCTGGAACTCACATAGTGGAATGGAAGAACCTATCTCCACAAGACCTTCACTTAGCAAACACACACACACACACACACACACACACACACACACACACACACACACACACAGAGTAAATAAATGTAAAAAAAATTTAATGCTGAATAAAATAAGGCAGACATTCAATGTTTTGGCCTACTTTGCTGGAAGCAAGAAGATTCATGTTGCAGGGATGGGGGTTTAGATGTGTCCCTCTAAAATCCAGGTTTTGGGGGAGGGCTGGAGAAACGGATCAGTAATAAAGGGGACTGACTGCTCTGGCAGAGGACCCAGGTTTGGTGGGTTCTTAGCACCATTGTCAGGTACCTCACAACCATCTGTAACTCCAGTTCTAGGGAATAGGATGCGTTCTTCTGGCTTCCACAAACATTGCATGCTTGTGGAGCACATACAGATAAGTAGGCACCTGAAGGTTGGTGATGGTTGGAGGTGATCAGGGCCATAAGGAGTTGTCAGGGCTGCTGCTTAAAGGGCTAGGCACAAGTGAAAGCCAACTATGCATGCCAAATTTGCCTAAAGAAAATGTTGGGAGATAATGAGAAGCAGAGATTCTCTGTTTCAGGTGAGGGTTTTTTGTTCTGTTTTGGTTTAGGTATATTGCTTTCTTGTGTGTGTGTGTGTGTGTGTGTTGATTTTTTTTGTACTTGCTTTTGTTTGCTTTCTTTGTTTTGCCTTCTTTTGTGAAGGGGGATGCAACAGAGATGAGGGGAGAATAAGAAAGGACCAGGAGGTGAACAGAATTGGGGTGCACAACGTGAAACTTTCAAAGAGTCAATAAAGAAGTTAAAAAAAGAAAGCCTTGGAACGTAGCAAAACTAAACAAAGTAAAATAACAAACATTGGAACCTTTGATAACTGTGCTGTGCAAAATTGACCCAGAATCTTCTTTTTCCCACCTTGCTTTTTGAAGTATGAACTGGCCACTGGCACAGTTAGAAAGTGGGAAACTGCTACTCACCATATGGGAGACATACTTGTTTTCTGGAATCATTTGTTTGCAGTAATCACAACGGGTCTTCCTTTCAGGAGATACATTTCTCTTCCCTGAGTAAACACAGAAACACCACAAATGACTGTTCTTAACAGTGGCTATGCTGCTTATCCCCTGGATGCTCCCATGGCCTGTATTCATGAGTATTAACCATCCCTAGGCTAGCCCGGTCTTGGGTTCCTCACACTGTCAGCAGTCACCCAGGAGAGGACTGGCTGGCCAGCCATTTTTATCACAGTGACACTGGTGGAGAGACCCTTTCCTGGAGCAGAACTGGTTTTTAAGCAATTGAAAGGGGCTATGTACATAGCTGCCCCAAAGGGACACTAGCCCACTCCAGCACACGGCTCTGGCCCGCCTTGCTCTCCTCCCCATTCCATTGCCTACTAAAAACCATTAGACTACACACTTAAAACAGTCACCAAGGGCTGTTCCCTTACTTAGTCACTTCCTCCTCCTGAGGCTGTACCACCAAGGTCCAGCTATCAAGGTATTGAAGTCCAGCCAGCAAAAATCCCCTTTGACTCACATGACTAGCATGCCCAATTAAAATTAAACACCTGATCCAGCCAGAGGCTTCCCCCTTTTATCTTTATAAACCACCATTTTCCTAGGGGCAATGTCTGTTTCCTCTCTACTCAGAGGCAGTCCTTCGTCCCTCTGGGACAAATACCCTTCTCTCTTTCCCTTGTTACCTTCCCCTTCTGCCTTGTCCTGTCACTTCCTTATTCCCTGACCTCTGTCCCTCTGAGGCAAACAAATCTCCTTTGTGCTGAGAACTTGGTCTTGGGGTCCTGAATGGATAAATTTCCTTTCACACCCAGACTGCCTAATTGACTCAGGTTCTGAGTTCTGTGATCCAGCCAGGTGTTGGCCGTAACATCACTGTGCTAAAGTTGTGTTGTACTGAGGATGTCAATGAACTTGCCTTGGAGACTGTGGGAGACCAGGCACAATGGGATGAAGGAAAAGTACACATACTTCCTGGCTTTCCATTGGCCAATTTTGATCTTGGGTAGAGCATTAACCTGGGGTAGTTACTAAGGGATTCCACAGTTTCTCCACATGTTATCACATTGTCAAAACAACCAATGAAGTCAAAAGATGTGAACCATTGGCAACTATGTTCTTGGCAAATACTCCTATAAAGAGGTCATTGAATTGGGTCAAGAGACTACAGAGAGGTCAGTGGTACAGCACTTGCCTAGCATGTATGAGGCTCTAGGGTCAAATCCCCATCACTGGAACTGGAGAGAGAGGTGGGAGGAAATATGAAGTGATTCTAGAAAGCCTATATGACGCCACAGTCTGGAGCTATAGCAGCCTCACATCAGGTCATTGCTAACTGCTATGGTTTGGATGTAAACACCCTACCCTCTTAGCTTATGTGTTTGAACACTTGGTTCTTAGCTACTAATGCTGCTGTGGCACCTTTAAGAGGTAGAGACTCACTGGAAGGAGTGAGTTCTGGGTACAAGCTTTGAGGTTTCTTAGCCCAGCTCCATGTCTTGTGGGTTCAGATTGACCAGTGCAGTGCCTAATGCTCTGACATGCCTTCCCCAACACAAGGCTGTATCCTCTCAAACTGTAAGCCACAACAAACTCCTCCTCCCTGACGATGCTTCTGCTTCTTACCACTTTTTATTTATCACAGAATGGTAAAAACAGACAATACACTCCGGTGGAAAAGGAGGATGGAGGCTTGGTGCTGGACGCTGGGGTTTCCCTCCATCTTATTTGTTCTCTGACCTCTCTGTGTGCTTTTCATCTATAGGATGATTCAGGTGCTGACTTACCAGGCATGTAAAAAAAGTTCTTCATATTTATGACACCCCATGGCTTTCTCTCCCTCTTCTCTGCGGCTCTTACACCCCATCCCTGGCTCTTGTTTTTCCTGGATAAGTCACTGAAGGACACTGCAGACACACAAGAAGGCTACTCCAGTTCCATAGTCCAGGATGGACTCTCTTCTCTCCAGTGCTGTTAACGGTTCCTGTCCTTGCATCCTTCCCAGGAGACTGTCCGACCCTGGACACTTTCCTCTCCCTCTCCAGCTTCTCCCTGTTGCTCACCTTCCTCAGGCCTGGCCTTTGTCCTCAGACACACATCCTTATGCCGGGCCAACGCTTGGAGTGGGATGGGCTGGTTGCAGTGTGGACAGCTCTCTGTCCGGAGGCCACAGTGGGACTCGTGGACATCCAGTTTGCAGAAGTGCACAGCCAGATCACAGAACTTGCACCTGGCAGGGTGCTGTTGGATTTCCTTGGTCTGTGGAAAGATGGAGGACATGGGCCCAGCTACTTAGGAAACTGAAGCCAGTCAGAGAGAGTTCTGGCAAGGGTCAGAGGCAGACACTGCCCTTGGGGATCATGAGTTCTTTTAGACTCACTGTTCTCGTTTACTTTCTGTTGTGATAAATAAACATCATGACCAAAAAGCAACTTGGGGAGGAAAGGGTTCATTTCATTTTACATTTCCACACCACAGGCTCTCATTGAGGGAAGTCAAGACAGGAACTCAAGCATGGCAGGAATCTAGAGGCAGGAATTGAAGCAGAGACCATGGAGGTGTGCTGCTTACTGGCTTACTTTATTTACAACCCAGGACCACCTGCCAAGGAGTGGTACCACACACAGTGGTCTGGGGTCTCCCACATCAATCATTAATCAGGAAAATGCCTGTAGAGACAACCTCAGATCAGTATGATGGAATTCTTCAATTGAGATTGTCTTCCTAGGTGACCAGAGACTACATCAAGTGGACAAAACCGAACCAACACACTCATGGATCACGGAGATTCCCATATCAAGCATGTATGTGGGACAGAGGAATCTGCATGTCTGGGAGGGATGTTCTCCACAGTTCTCCTAGCCACTCAGGTGGAGGGGTAGTGGTCAGGGGGGAACCTTTATGACTGGCCTCTCCTCCCCTCTCTGACTCTTTCTCTCGGTTAGTCTGTTTGCCTCTAGAGGAGAAATCCAACTTCAGCAAGGGAGGACTTGAACATGCTGATGACATGGTACAGACTACTTGAACTGTGCTGGTTGGTTTTATGTCCACTTGACACAAAGCTAGAGTTATCTGAAAAGAGGTAATCTCAATTACCTCTTCCATAAGAGCTGGCTGGAGGACATTTTCTTAATTAGTGATTGATGGGGGGTGCCCAGGCTATTGTGGGCAGTGTCATCCATGGGCTGGTGATACAGGGTTCTATAAGAAAACAGGCAGAGCAAGTCTTGGGAAGCAAGACAATAAGCAGCAGCACCTTCCATAGTCTCTGCATCAGCGCCTGCCTCCAGGTTCCTGCCATGCTTGAATTCCTGTCCTGACTTCCTTAAGCCAAATAAACCTTATCCACAGGGCCGGTGAGAACTGGATTCCAGCTACTGACCCCTGTCCCTACTGCCACCTGCTCACCTGCTGGTGCACAGTTGCTGCATGCTCCTTCATCTCTGACTTTGGGATGGGCTCCTCACATTCCGGGCAAATGACCAGAAAGCGCAGGCAGTGGGCCTCATGGAGGGTGAAGTGGACAGAGGCCACATTTCTTTTGCTTCAGGATAAAGTGGGGGGGATAAAGGTTCATTGTCTTAGTATAAAGCACGAAGCCTTGTTGCATACCTAGGGCAAACTCTTCCCAGGCCTGTGGCATGGAAAATACAGTGACGCAGATGATGCTCTCCTGCCCTGCTTGTGCTGGTGAAAAAGTAGAAAAATTCACTATCACAAAGTAAGTGTGAGGGCAGTCTACAAAGCGCTACACTGCCCAGGAGAGTGGGCGGGAAGGAGTGGTAGGAAGGGGTTACCAGGGCAACAGGACAACATTAGAGAGCGATTCATTTCCTAGGTGGGATGATTTCACAGATAAGCAGCGTTTGTCAAAGTGTGCACTTTAAACATGGACAAGTCAGCTGGGCCTGTTGTCACAGGTTTGTAATACCAGCTGTTCATGAGACTGAGACAGGAAGATGGCTAGTTCAAGGCCTACTTATGCTATAGAGTGAGTTCAAGATCAGCCTGGGCAATTTAGTGAGACTTTGTCTCAAAATGCAAAGTAAAAATAGATCTGGGGATACAACTCTGAGTGATTGGCTGCTGTGCAATACCCTAGGCTTAGTGCCCAGTACTCTCCCCACCCCCAGAGACGGGGGAGGGAGGGAGGTGAAGTTTATCCTTTTCCAGTTATCTCTCAGTAAAGCCATCATGGAAACAAAATAACACCGGTTGGCATTGCAGCCATGACCACACTTCCTACACCGGTGAAAACAGCTTTCAGAGGCTCCAAGGGTTCCCCAACTCTCCAATAGTGAAAATTCAAGCAGCTGTCTCTCATCCCTGGGCTCTCCTGAAGCTACCCAGATAGGGGCTGAGACCCGGAGAGTCTGCCTGGGCAGGGTGTCTCCTCTGATAAGCTCATTACCTCATCTTTCCACCCCCTCAAGCTGGTGGCTGCTAAGGAGAAAGGAAACTGATCCCAAAGGGCCAGGGGAGGTGCCCCAGGGCCCTAGCACCTGGGTCAGGGCCACAGAGGGACGTGGAAAGCCTCACTGCTGTCAGCCTGATCAAGCTGTCCCCATAGATACACAGGGTGAAGTCCCCTTGATCTGCTTGCTCTCTGTTCTGCCTCCAAGCACACTCAGCACTTCTTCCAGAGTCGGGAGATCCTGGGCAGGTTCTGGAGGTGTGGCCATTGCCCCCTGCTGTGTCCTCCATGTTCTACCTCCCAGCTCCTGTCAGGTGGAGAGTGGGACTGACCCTGGAGCACCTTTGAAGTTTCCTTCACAGATGGGTGGGAAGACTACATTTCCAGGGCCCCACATGAGGACCTAAGTTTCCACAGGAATGAGTAGCCCACTAGGGACAAGTCCCTGGTTACTTAACTTCGTGGCTGACCAGCCGGCCTGAAACATCCATGTGAGGGAATGTAGTGACCTTGAATTCCGCTGACCGCTCCCCACCCCAGGGGTTCCAGTCCCTTCAGGCTTGTCCTCTGGTGTGTCCCTAATCCTCTTCACTTCAGAAACAGTGCTCTGCTCTGCCCCTCTCTGCTCTGCCCCTCCCTGCTATGGCCCTCTCTCTGGCCAGCCCTGGAGAGAGTAGCTTTCTTACCAATTGCTGCACACCTGGAAGTCAGCCTCCATGGTCTGCTCCTTGGAGCACACTGTGGACTTGAGCTACCGCAGGCAAGAAAACAAAACTGAAAGTGTTTCCCCAGCCTGGCTCACAGCAGCAGGGAGGAGGGGACTTTCAGTATTCTCAACCCAGGGCGGTTCCCAGCTCCTTGCAGCAGGACACGCCCAGAAGGCCACTCTGCAGCAAGATCTAGTCCCCTGCCATGCCTCTCATCCTGTGTTGTCCCTGAGCTACCGTGACTGTGACCTCTGGGGTGGGGGTGAGCCGACAGATCTCCTCGGGCACCATAATGACTCCTTCCTTCCTCCCCCTCCCTGACTGGTTTCACTCAATCTGGATCCCCACCCCTTCTCAACCTGTGACATCACTCCTCCACTCTGGTTCTGGTCCCATCCTCTGTGTGAAGCTTGAGTCTGCTCCATGAAGAAGGAGCCCCTGCACCTGCACTCTGCCTGGGTTTCCGTTTGTAGCAACTGGAAACAAGATCCGTGAGGAACTGGGCAGGGGTGCAGGGTGCTGGATGCTTAGACTAAAGGCTCTGCTGCAAAAGAAGCAGTGATGTCAAACACTTACGTAAGCCCAGGGTGGCAGGCACCACAAGGGGGCCTTGTCATCTCATCCTCAAATGGTAAAACTGAGGCACCTAGGGCCCAATAACCTGCACAAGTTCCCAGGCGACGCGGTCCAAGGTGTGATTCCTCTGCCATAGCTGCAGAGCTGTGGGATCTGCAGTCAGATCCTGATAAGATATTGAACTGAGCCTTCTCAGTTCAATCTCAGCCTTCTGGAGGCTGTTTCCTGGTTGGCTGGCTTACCCTGGGGCTCCTGGGGGAACTTTAGGGTCCCCGTGCTCCTAGAAATTGAATACAAAATCACTGCCATGTCAGAATACGCTTGTTCTCAAGAAGGTGCCCACAGACCCAGGCAGCTGACTGACAAGCCTAGCCGGCCTCATGTCTTTGAATCATTGAAGCTCAAAGATTCCAAATTCAGTTAAAGGCAGCTCATGCCCACGAGTAATATATTGCATAACGAAACCAAGTGGATACAGAACAGTTGCTGCTGGTTTCTTGTGTTCATTTTCTTTTTTCCTCACAGGAAGAAACAGAGTGTTACTAGTTACATAAATAAAGATGACAAAATAGGTTTGGGGGATAGATAGCGGTATGGCCCTTGCCTAGCATGACAGAGGTTTTGGGGTTGGTCCCTACTACACACACACACACACACACACACACACACACACACACACACACACACTGTACACACAATCACAAAATAGTATCTTTCAGTGACAACTGATATATTTACAAATACAGCCAGGCACCAAATAATGACATGTCCGACAACAGTAACCACATAAGATTATAGAGAACTGTAGCAACTTTTGAATGTCACTGCACTGAATCACTTGCATTTGTCCTGCCTTGGCATGAGTGTAGGGTGCAAGAAATCAGAGGGGCAGCTAAACACTGAGCTGAACTCCTGGAATCTAGTTGTAGAGATGGAGGAGTGATGAGAAACGGGTCAAGACCATGTTGAGGAAACCCACAGAAACAGCTGACCTGAGCTGACGGACTCCAGACTAGGGAACCTGAATAAGACTGAACTAGGCCCCCTGAACGTGGGTGTCAGTTGGGGGGCTTGGGCAGTCTATGGGACCACTGGCAGTGGAACTAGTATTTATCCCTAGCGCATGAATGGGCTTTTGGAGCTCATTCCCCATGGAAGGATACTTTTTCAGTCTAGATACAGCAGGGAGGGCCTCGGTTCTTCCCCAAATGATGTGACAGACTTTGATGATCCCTCATGGGAGGCCTCACCCTCTCTGAGTGGATGGGAAGTGGGATGGGGAGATGGTGGGGGGACAGGAGGAACTGGAGGGAGAGGAAACTGGAATTGATATGTAAAATAAGATTGTTTTTAATTTAAATAAAAATTAATAAAAAGCAGAGGGGTGTGTGTGAATATGATCAGTTGATTACACACATGTATTAAGATACAAAAATAAGAAACAAAAAATATAGCAAATAAAATTATATACAGGACAGGTTCAGTGGGTAAAGTACCTGTCACTAAACCTGAGTTTAACCCCTGAATTCAACCCCCTGGGACCTACATGGTAGGAGGAGAGAACCAGCTCCCTTGAGTTGTTCTCTGACCTCCACACACACAAAATAAATGTTTTAAATATTATGTATAGTACTCGATAATCACAATAAACAGCTATATTACTGACTTGAGAATTTACTATGGTATATTTCCTATTGTCATTATAGAACATATTCTCTTTATCCATAAGCAAATTGTTTAGGGCTGGGTATGCTTAGCATACACAAGGCCCTAGGGCCCATCCTTAGCATATTTAAAAGAGAAGACATAATGAAGAAATCACAATGTTGGCTATTGACATTAAAAGCAATGACAATTCAGAAAGAAGAACTGGCTTGTTCTGAGCCAACTTGAAAGAGCATTTCCCAGAAATATTAACAAGTTAACACCCTGGTTCCCCAAGAACATGGTCCTCCAAGGATGTGTGTTACCCTTTGAGTATAACAAGTCTGCTGCAGACTGTGAATACCTGTCCCCAAGCTACCATGCTGTTTTAGGAGCGTGTGAAACCTTCAGGGAGTGGGGCCTGGATGGAGGACACAGGTCAGTGTGGGGTGGGTCTGGGGGGATATAGGTCACCCCTGTACCCTGTCTGGCCTCTTTCTGCTCTCTGTACCAGGCCCACTGCCGTGCCTCCCCTCCACGACAGATTAACGTCCCTTTGTATGAGTTACTTTCTCCTTGTGACAAAATACTCAGCAACTTAGAAGAGAAAAGGGGGCTTACAGTTTGAGGGTCCAGTCTGGCATAGTGGGGCAGGCGTGGTGCTAGGAGCACGAGGTGTGGGTCATGTTGAATCTGAGTCAGGAAGCAGAGGGATGAATGCTAGCGCTCAACACTTTCTTCTTATCAGTTTGCCACACTCGGGACAGTGTTGCCCCCATTCAGGGCTGCTCTTTCTGCCTCAGTCAATCCTCTAGAAACACCCTCAACAAAGCCCGAGGTTTGCCTCCTAGGTGACTTTAAATCCAGTCAGTGGCAAGGTAACCACCCTCCCCTTCAAACTGGGGGCCAACAGAAGTCCTTCCTCCCTTACGTGATGTTTACAGGTATGTGTCACACCCAAGGAAAGTCCCCAGCTCTATGTGGTCCCATTCAGAACTGATTACACAAACCTATCACGGTGGGCAAACTTTACACAGATCCAGATGTTGGTTAAATCAGACAAGACATCCCCAGCAAGCCTCGGTTGCTGCCTCAGCCTTAAGGTGTAACAGTCCTGAGGCCTATCATCCTGCCGTATGTAGTAAGAGTTTGTTCAATAACCACAAAAATTGTAAGTAACAGAAGTCAATGATAAGTGGATGCCAGAGAGTTCTGAAACAGAATAGCCCAGCCCAGCCGAACCTAGGCTTCACAACTCACAGCACCTCATGTATCAACAAAGTCACAACAAGGTGACTGTGATCCTGTGCCGACAGGAGATGTTCCAGAGAGACACTGTGACCTTCCCTTTAGCCACGAGACTGTCATTTTTCCCCACTTATAAAATTAGTGTGCTTAACAGGCAGCCAGGAGTCTTGAGCTTGAAGCTGACCCCCAAGGAAAGTTGTAAAAGGCTTCAATGTACACATATTAAAGGAAGGGACCTAAGGGACAAAGATTCATAGGGGAGTTTCCATTCCAGGAAACACCAAGAATGCTTCCTTTTTAAAAATGGAGGAATCTAAGACCCCATTATTCTTGGCAAAGATTCAATAAAAAGCTGTCTCTGTGACAGAATGGAAGCAGTCTGGAACCTAGGATTGTTCTTAAATTTACATCTGTTCTAGATTTTTTTCTTATGGCTTTCTGTAAATTATAAGGTGGCCTCAGACATGGAGCAGGATTAGACTTCTCAGTTCTTATTGGTCAAACTGAGTAAATCCAGAGTCTTCTATTAATTCAGTTCCTTTTTTATCTATCTATCTATCTATCTATCTATCTATCTATCTATCTATCTATCTATCTATTTATTTTAGTCTGGGTTACTTGTAGTTCAGGCTGACCTCAAACATTCTCTGGGGTTGAGGGTGGCCTTGAACTCCTGATCCTCCTACCCCCATCTCCTGAGTATGGAGATTATCCAGTATACATTATCAGGCCTGGCTCTTAACGAAGAAACTGGGTATATTAGTTTCTATCCAACAAAAAGGAACTCAAGTGAGGACAGGTTTGTTTTGGCTCCCTGTTCCGGAGATATAGCGCATCCTGGCCAGGCAGGACAGAGGCAGGGGCAGGAGGTGGCTGTTCTGCTGGTCACACATTATATTCGAAGTCAGGAAGCAGAGATCAGAGAGTGATAAATGCTTGCACTTAACTGGCTTTCATTCAGTCTAGCTCCCCTCCCCACACTCCCCCATTAAATAGTACTGCTCACACTTAGAATGGGTCTTCCCACCTCAACATGCCCAGAGATTTGTTTGCATGGTGATTCTAAGTCCCACCAGGAGAACGAGGCAGTTTATGGACCCGGGTGTGCCTGGTAACAAGAGAATGCTCCAGTGGTGAGATTTAAAGCTGCTAGAAGCCCTTGGCTATGGAGGGGATCTCTCTGAGATGCTTCTGTTCACACCAAAAAGAGGTTCCTGTGACCATCTAGAACAATAAAAACCCGAGGAACTTTTATGAACTATGAGCTTCCAAAATGCTTCCAGAGATATTATTGATGGGACAGATGTCAAAGAGGCAGATGTAGGGGGGACACCAGGAATCTGTGGCAAGGACGGGAAGGGCAATTAGAAGTGATCTGGCAGCTTCTGTTGTAGTGTGCTCTGATTGACTTTCACCTATAAAGTCATTTTCTTCCAAGACTTCTTCAATGCTTCTCTCATGCTCCAACTTTTTTTTTTTTTTTTTTTTTTTTTTGGCTTTTACGAGACAGGGTTTCTCTGTATTGTTTTGGAGGCTGTCGGTCCAGCCCGGCCTCGAACTCACAGAGATCCACCTGCCTCTGCCTCCCGAGTGCTGGGATTAAAGGTGTGCGCCACCACCACCCGGCTGTAGCATGAATTCTAATTGGTCTTAATAAAAGCCCTGAGTCAGATATAGGGGTTAAATGCTGAAAGATCAGAGAAGCCGCCAGTTCTTACCTCTACTCAGATCTAAAGGGGTGATCTTGTC